TTGTCAGTCCTATAAGATGGATTTTTTTTTCTTTTGAGAAGGGTGGCAACTCAGGATGGATGGAATCACAAGAACCACAGATCCTGTGGTTAGTGGTTTTAAGCACTCATCAAAGCATAGCCTTGAATGAGGTGGAGAACATTTTACTCATGACATTCTCCTCAGTGGGATGACTCCTTTTGTTCTGAAGATATTCTCTGTTAAGCTGCTTGGCATGGTGTACGAGGGAGAGCTCAAGGCAGGCCTGATGTGCCTGAGACAACCAAGGGAAATTTGTCCTGCTAGGGAGGTGGAGCTGTGGGACTAGGAAGCTAGGGAGGGCCATGTCCCTCAGGATGCGTCCCCTCCTTGTGACCCCAGGCCCAATTATTTAATGGGTTTGACCAAGACACAGAATGCAGATATGCATGGAGCTCTTCTGCAGACTGCTGGAGGGGCCAAGTTCTGGGGAAAGACAGCAAAACTTCAAGAACGCACAAGTCCCAAGTGCAAAGGAGACGGCAGAAATAGAAGACCAGGAACCAGGGGCAAAGCTTTGCATTTCCCAAGCATAGAATCTGCTGGCATCCAAGTTCATTTTACCTTGCTCTTCAGGGGAAAGGAGACTCCCGGGGTATCTATCATATATATGGGCTGTCAGAGCGCTGTACACCCAAATAACGTCACACACCCTTCTGCCTGAATACCAAAGCTCAGCACTAACACTCAAGCCACAGTAAGGAAAATGGGCCAGTGTCCACATTTAGCCACGGCAAGCACATGATCATGTCATCGTTACAGTGGCTCCCCCTTATCAGCTGGATCAAAACGTGGGGCTCCTGTTGCCCGGAACCACAAAAGCAGCCTGCAAGTGTGGGTGCTTCTTGTCTGAATCTCTGGATGGCGAGGCGTGCTTCAGAAAGACCTGCTTCAGCAATTTTCCCTTCTCTCCTACAAGTCTATTCCTATTCACACGTAAACCTGCTCTTGTAGCAAATGAATACGAAAACCTTCTCTTGCCCCCAGCTTCTGCTCCTATTCATGTATGAGTAAAATTTCTTGGAAGTTGGTTATAGCTGATGTAGCTACAGGCTGGCCAGCTTTGACCTACTCTACCTATGCCCCCACCCCCACTTGTCCACGGGAAGGGCCCTTGTCAAGTCATCTGTGACTTTTGTGTTCCCAAGCCAATGGCTGCTCTTGTTCTCATCTGGTTGGATCTCTCAGATCCCACTCTCAGCAGATCCCACTCTCAGTGGATCCCACTCTCAGTGGATCCCACTCTCAGCGGAGTCGACTCTCAGTGGGTCCCACTCTCAGCGGATCCCACTCTCAGCGGGTCCAAATCTCAGTGAGTCTCACTCAGCGGGTCCCACTCTCAGCGGGTCCCACTCTCAGCAGACTCCACTCTCAGCAGACTCCACTCTCAGCAGACTCCACTCTCCGCAGACTCCACTCTCAGCGGGTCCCACTCTCAGCAGATCCAACTCTCAGTGGACCCCACTCTTAGCGGGCCCGAATCTCAGTGAGTCCCACTCAGTAGGTCCCACTCTCAGCTGATCTCACTCTCAGCAGATTCCACTCTCAGCAAATCCCACTCTCAGCGGGTCCCACTCTCAGTGGACCCCACTTTTAGTGGGTCCAAATCTCAGTGTGTCCCACTCAGCAGGTCCCACTCTCAGCTGATCTCACTCTCAGCAGATCCCACTCTCAGCGGAGCCCCCTCTCAGCGGGATCCTCTTACAGAGCTGATTCTTCCCTCTTCTTTCCAACACTTTTTCTTGCCTCGCTTTTGCTTTCCCTTTTCCTTCACAGACCCTTTCGACAACTCTAGATCCCTAGTGCAGGAGTGTCCTAGGATCAGTCCTGCCACCCTGCTCTCCCTTGTCTAGACCCCTGAATTCCCATCCTGTCCAAATGCTGATGACCTGCAATTGTACAACTTGATATTTCCACTGAGATGTCTAACGGGAATCTCAGATTTAAGATGTCCAAATTGAACTCCTTTCTGTGAATCTCACCCTCCACATCCATTTCCGTGTTACCACGATTCACCCAGAAGCTCCAACCAAAAATCTAGGTGTCATCTCTACCTCCACCCTTTCCTTCTCACACCAACCATGTCAAACCCAACTGCATGCTGGATTTGATGCTAACTTTATGTTTGAGAGGGAGTCTCATTCTGTTGCCCAGGCTGGAGTGCAGTGGGGCGATCTCAGTTCACTATAACCTCTACCTCCCAGGTTTAAGTGATTCTCCTGCCTCAGCCTTCCTAGTAGCTGGGATTATAGATGTGCACCACCACAACAGGCTAATCTTTTCTTTTTTTCTTTTTTTTTTGTATTTTTAGTAGAGACAGGGTTTTACCATGTTGGCCAGGCTGGTCTCAAACTCCTGACCTCAGGTGATCCACCCTCCTCAGCCTCTCAAAGTGTTGGGATTACAGGCATGAGCCACCGCACCTGGCCTGATGCTACCTTTAAATTGTGGTTTGAATCCATCTGCTTCTCTCCACCTCCAGCATTACCTTAGACCAGGCCACCATGACCATTTTTATAATTAGATCACCTCCAGTAAACCTTTCACTAACTACCCAGTCTCACGTAGTCCTTCCGGCATGACCAAGACCTTCTGTTTTAGGCTCGTCATTGAACTTACTGCTATTTTTACTTGGGGTTTTTTGGTATGTTTTCTATTTATTTATTGTCCCCCCACCATACCCAAATAAGACAGGTGTGGCACAAGGTTAGCCTGTTAATTGTTTGTTCATCAGTTGTCCCTAGGCCCTCACAGAATGCAGGCACTAAAGCGTCACCTGAATGAGGTGAAGGAATGAATGAAAATACCACATAGTTAAGGCAGGTGCTCACGATTAAAAATTACAAACGCCTGCCCTCCCCTTTTCCACTCTGTCTAAGGAATTAAAAGAAGAGGTGTCCCTATAGGACATAGAAGCCCCCAAGGTCAAGTTCAGTGTTCTCATGTCTGGGTTGTCTTTGAGGCCACAGATTCACCACTGCACCAGTGCTTTTTATTTAAAAATTTTTTTCTGAGATGGAGTCTCGCTCTGTCACCCAGGCTGGAGTGCAGTGGTGCGACCTTGGCTCACTGCAACCTCCACCTCCCGAGTTCAAGCAATTCTCCTGCCTCAGCCTCCTGAGTAGCTGGGATTACAGGCATGCACCACCATGCCAGCTAATTTTTTTTAATTTTTAGTAGAGATGGGGTTTCACCATGTTGGCGGGGCTGGTCTCAAACTCTTAACCTCAAGTGATTTGCTGCGCCAATGCTTTTCAAAAATGGGGATATTGGCTGGGTGGAGTGGCTCATACCTGTAATCCCACACTCCGGGAGGCTGAGGCAGGAGGATCGCTTGAGCCCAGGAGTTCAAGACCAGTCTAGGTAACATAGTGAGACCCCGTCTCTAAAAAAAAAACACAGAAGATTAGCCAGGTGTGGTGCACATCACATCTGTTGTCTCAGCTACTTGGAAGGCTGAGGTGGGAGGACTGCTTGAGCCCAAGAGCTGAAGGCTGCAGTGAGCTGAGATTGCGCCACCGCACTCCAGCCTGGGGGCAGAGCAAGACTCTGTCAATAAAATAAAATAAATAAAACATAAAAATGCGGATGTTACTCGAGGGTAGTGTTTAAAAGCATGGGCCTTGGAGTCACTTTCCAGGTTCATACCTGCTATAGGATCTTCACCTCAATGTGCCTCAGTTTCCTCACCTGCAAAGTGGACATAAGTACTTACCCTCAAAGGACTGTGCAGAGGATTCTAAATTACATATGAAATACAGAGCAGCGGCTGGTTCAGGAATTGCTCCCCCGTCTTTCTTCTTAGGAAAACTAGGGCTGGTAATTCCTTGCAGGCTTTTATCATCTCTGCTGCCACTCTGGACTTCCCGACATCGCCAAATTTCGGCCAACGTCTCAGCTGGTTATGACAGAAGGGTCACCACCTCCACGCTGAAAGTGGCAACTGCAGGGCCACAACCTAGTGAATTCTCCCAGTGTCCTAAAAATGGCACCCTTCTAACTCACCAGGTGTCAGAGAGAATTAAACCAAGTCCTCAAATCCACAGAGAATATCAGCATCTGCTTGAACAAAACCAAACCAAATACTTTTGATCTTGCAGTGAAATCTGCTGCCTCAAAATGGTTCATCTGAAATCACCTGCTAAGGAGAAATGATGGTTTGGGGTTAATAATAGCCAACATGATTTTTGCCAGTTAAAACAATTCACAGACGCCTTGGCTTTGGGAGCAAGGCTAGATGGATGGAGTTCTTGTGTTAGAGCATATTCACCATGGAATTCAGTATTGACGTTCTCTAAGAGAATGCAATCAGTAAATCAATTTGGTTGGGAAAAAAACTGACCCAGGACTTTCTCAATAAAGGTAGGCTCAATCAACTTGTGTAGTACTAACAGCTAGAAAAATAATATTCATGAAGATGGAAAATACAATGAAAGTAGCAAGGCCCTAGGGTATATAAAATCAAATTATAGTATATCATGAAGTTGTACTGATTCTGATGGCTAAATGCCCCCAGCTATACGTATTCCCATGGAGACTACCTTGTTCAAAGGAACAAACTGGAACTATTTTAAACAGTAAAGAGGCATTCTATAACCAAGACAATTCTGAGATTTCAAATGTTTTCCTTCTGCCTGGTTTTTCCACATTCCACATTCAGGGGTCAGACTGGCTGATGCACTGGCAACCCAGCTTTCAACAGAAATATGCAGGTTCCATTGATTAGATGCTCAAGAATGATAACTTCTAAGGAATTTTTATATATTCAGAATGTCGTACTAAATAGATGAAAAGAGTTAAAACCCTACATTACTGTCTGTCTTCCAAAATTCTCACTGGGGGAAAAAAAAGAAACCTCAAAAACTCAAACTCCACAATTAACCCAATTCAGAATTTTAAATGAGGCATGTATGAAGCAAACTCAGCGCTGGAGGATGTTCTCTAAATCTGAGGAGAAATAACATTTACACTTAGAACAGAGGCATGTTTGAAACCTTTTATTAAACAGGCAATGCATTGTGCAGTGGTTAAAGACACAGATGCCTAGTGGAAAAGTTTAAAAATTATTTTTGGAAACAGTCTATGAATTGATGAACCCTGCCATGTTCCTTCATCTCCTTCTCAGAGTGGCTGTCTTTAGGAAAACAGATTGTTTTATAGCTGCTCTTGGAAACGGCATCTCTGTTTTGCCATGAATGTCATGCCTCGTAGTAAACATGAGAGAAGACAGGATCCACAGGCAAGACAGCGACCAGAGACATGGGCTGATCTCAGCTGGAAGCACAGATGTCCCTTCTCCTAGAAGGGCTTCTCTTCTGGCCTTTGCTGGGTGTCCTACTTATGCGTCCAACTTCATTTCTGTTTTCTTTCTTGTCTGAGGCTTCTTCATCAAGGGAATTCTAAAAGACACACTCGTACCTTTGGGCACAGGAACTGGTTCCCGGAATTTTTCAGCGTTGTTCTTGTTTCTGGGCCCTCTGGCCCAGGAGTATGGCTGTGTGTTGATCCTCTTTGTTTTGCCTGGTTCCTTCCTCTTCCCCAAGTTCGTCATAACTTGATGATAAAATCAATCTTTAAGTTTCACGGTCTGTTTGCCACAATATACTGGCAGTTTTTTAACTAAGTGGCTTGTCAGGGTAGTGGACATGCTTTATCAGCACACTGCCCACCTATTTTATAATCTGGGGCATGTCACTCCAAGCTTGAGATTTCTTTCTGGCAAGTTCCATCCAGGATGGCTGATCTGTACTGGCATAACTGGCTCTCTTCAGCTGATGCAATTCCTTCTCCATCATCACTGCAGACTGAGCTGCTTGGAAGGGAGACAAAACAAACAGAAACATGAGCAGCGACTTCGGATTTTCCCTTAAGCCTCTTGCGTTTCTTGAAATAGACATCGAGGTCTTAACTGTGTTCTCGAACAGAAAATTCAATAATATGTGAACATGCAAGGAAGATTTGGGCCTAGAATATGTCATTTATGTGATAAAAAGACTTACGAACAAGTTCAAACAATTCTGGCAATGCAATGAGGTGAGAGAGACTTTGGAAATAAAATGGCAGGAGCTCTACAGATGGGCTGCACAACAGTGTCCCTCTACTTAACACTACTGAACTGTTCACTTAAAAATGGCTAAGATGGTAAATTCTGTTATGTGCCTTTACCACAATTAAAAAAATATAAAAATTTCCATATATATGCATTTTTGTGTATATATATGTATATTTGTGTATATATATGTATGTATGTGTGTGTATATATGTATTTTTTGAGACAGAAGTCTTGCTGTGTTGCCCAGGCTGGAGTGTAGTGGTGCAATCTCGGTTCACTGCAATCTCTGCCTCCCGGGTTCAAGCGATTCTCCTGCCTCAGTTTCCCAAGTAGCTGGGATTACAGACATGTACCACCAGGCCTGTCTAATTTTTTTATTTTTAGTAGAGATGGGGTTTTGCATGTTGGTCAGGCTGGTCTTGAACTCCTGACCTCAGGTGATCTGCCCGACTCGGCCTCCCAAAGTGCTGGGATTATAGGTGTAAGCCAAGGCGTCTGGCCTAAAAATTTTTAAATATCGATACATGCAACAACAAAGGTATATCTTGAAGATGCTATGTTCAGTGAAAGATGCAGATAAAAAAGGGCACATACGTTAGGATTCCATTCATTAGAAATGTCCGAAAAAGGCTAATCCATAGAGACAGAGTAGATTAGTGGTTGCCTAGAGCTAGGAGTGGGAGTGGGACGTGACTGTAAATGGGCATGAGGTTTCTCTTTAGTGTGAGGGAAATATTGTAAAATTAGATTGTCATCATAGCTGTGCGACTCTGTAAATACATACCTGCTCACTGTCAATATACAGTCATCCCCTGGTGTATGCCGGGGATTGGTTCTAGGACCTCTCCCACCTGCATACACCAAAATCTATGAATACTCAAGTTCTGCAGTCAGCCCCGTGGAACCCGCATATGCAAAAAGATGGCCCTCTGTTTTCTCAGGTTTCACATCCTGAGGATACAGGTAATTTTCCATCTGGGTTTGGCTGGAAAACAGTCAGCATTTAAGTAGACCTGTACAGTTCAAACTTGTGTGTTCAAGGGTCAACCTTATACTTAATGAACTGTACACTTAAAATGGATGAGTTTTATGACACGTACATTATATCTCTGTAAGAGCTGAGTAGAAAACTCAAGGTGGCAAGTAATTCACAAAAACCAAACCAAACCAAAACCCGAACTGCAGGAACAACCCAGGAAAATGATTTCAAAGTATGTGGTCATGTTTGCAGATTTCATACCCAAGTTCTGATGGGACAAAGAGATTCCTCTTTGCAGCCCCTCCTTGAGGTTGAGCTTTGCCCCCTGCTTCCGGTCCACAGCGGGCTTCACAGGGGTTATCAGGAAAGACTTGCTGCGGACAAAGTCAGCTTGCTTCACAGGCTCCTGTTGGGACACAAGACACACGCTGCCAAGTCACCAGTGATTCAGACAGGGGCAAACACACCCAAAGTGAAGGAGCTGCGAGGCTGCCCTTCCAAGATGCCTGCACTGCTGGCATTTTCTTGGGAGGGCACCCTAGTGTCAGCTCCACTAACTCCGAGGGGTCAGACGCTGATGCTCAGACCAGCATGCGGCCTTATCCTGGCACACGCGTGCATCACGGCTTCCTTCCTGTCCCCACACCTGGCTTCAGGGCCAGATGGCAGATGGCAGGGATCCCATTTGGCAGTGAAGATGATTTGTTTAGAATCGATCTGTGATTTTTATGACAGTTGGTATAGTTACAGATGTCCCAAACCGGTTACTACTTGTTTTCTAAATGCCCCATGCCTGCATGAGGGTCTTCGAGTCTGGGTATAGTGGAGGTTCTAGTTAAAACGAGGGGAAGCAGGTCCTACTGCAGGCTCAGGCTCTCTTCCCCACATGGCTGAAACACCCAGATTTATCATGGTGCTATTGGGGGATACAAACATTGCGAGTCTCGGCCTGATTCTAGGCAGAGTTGTTTGGTTGGGCTGGTGAAAGCTGCCTTCAGTTCAGAGTGCAAAATGAAACCACAGGTTCCAGCCCTGCGGCCCCAGGTGAGGAATGAGGAGCTCCAGCATGTGGCCGGTAGAGCAGCAAAGAGCAGGGCTCACTCCTCACAGCATGATGAGCTGGGATGGAGCTGTTGACATCATTGCTGTGTGTCTAACTCAGAAGTTATTTTAACCTCCTTCCATTTTTCTAGATGCTGAGCTGCTGCGTTGCCAAGGAGGCAGGGAGGAGAGAGCTGTCTGCACCGCCGCAGTGACTCACGTGCTTCTCTGTATCCCAACAGCTCAGCATGTGCAAAGGCAGGCGGAATGCTCCGCCATGGAGGTTAGGATTTGGCAAGTCATTTATTTTGCTTCATTGGCCCTCGACCACACATCCACAAGCATCACAGGTGATGGTCCCTGTGACGCCCATGCGGGATGTGTGGTCCTTACGGGGTCCTCACCCCAGCCCCAGCTGGCTGCTCCCTCCTGCACCCACAGAATGGAAAGCATCTGCTCTAAGCAACGGGGCTTTCTCGGGCACCTTGGCTTGCTTTCCTGGTTCAGACTTCAGGGTCCGTGTCCCAGGTTTGTCTTCCGGGTTGGCCGGCTGGTCCAAGGCCCCTCGCCGTTTCTGCCGAGTGACGGTGATCCAGGGCGGCACAGGCTGCCCATCAGCTCCAGGCCCTGTTGCTGCAGGCGGCAGACTCTTTTCTGTTGGGTAAAGGCACAAGATTATAGAAACAGTCCTGTTCCCTCTTCGGTTTCACCCTTTGTGTCTCCCGCACAGAGAACACTACTGCTTTGGTTCGGGGTTGCAGGGGGTCTGGGAGAGCATTACTCTCTTTAGGGACTTTGTTTTCTTATTAAAGATGCATCAGAGAGATGATGCTCCTCTAGTCTGAGTCACAAAAAATTAAATGCAACTGCTTCTATAGGGTCTGCGTGTACTTAAGCCAACTTCCTCTGAGGAATCCTTTCTGGAAGGAGATAAAAATAAGTACACAAATAGATACAATTTCTTTAATATAATCCTGTCATGGTGGACATACTACCCGATTCCTGCTCAAATGTTGTAGACGCACTATTAACCTCTTGTCTTCTAACAACTGTGAGCATGACCTTCCCTTTGGGGAGAGAGTGACACCAAAGACTGGTCACAGTTGCTTTCCTTAATGTTCTAGAGAGAAAAGAAATAGTGCCTTTGAAACCATATGTTGGCCAGGTGCGGTGGCTCATACTTGTAATCCCAACACGCTGGGAGGCCAAGGCGGGTGGATCACCTGAGGTCAGGAGTTCCAGACCAACTTGGTCAACAACCCCATCTCTACTAAAAATACAAAAATCAGCCGGGCGTGGTGGCGGGTGCCTGTAGTCCCACCTACTTGGGAGACTGTGGCAGGACAATCGCTTGAACTTGGGAGGTGGAGGCTGCAGTGAGCCAAGATCATGCCACTGCACTCCAGCCTGGACAAGAGTGAGACTTTGTCTCAAAAATAGAAATAAAACTAAAAAAGACACCATATGTTTTGTTGACTCTCCTTCCGTATTAACTGTGCTTATCTTTGGGTGGTGAAACTGTGGATCATTCCCCTCCTCTTACATTTCAACTCTTCTGTAGTTTCATATTTTCTACAATAAGAATTTATTACCTTCATCAATAGAAAAAGGAAATCTGTGGATTAAATAAGTGGCTTTTCTTTTTTTTTTTTTTTTTGAGACAGGGTCTCACTTTGACACCCAGGCTGAAGTACAGTGGTGCGATCAAGGCTCACTGCAACCTCCACCTACCAGGCTCCAGTGATCCTCCCACCTTGGCCTCCTCAGCAGCTGGGACTAGAGTCATGCACCATCACGCCCAGTGAATTTTTTGTAGAGATGGGGTCTCACCATGTTGTCCAGGCTGGTCTCAAATTCCTGAGCTCAAACAATTTGCCTGCCTCAGCTTCCCAAAGTGCTGGAATGACAGGCTTGAGCCACCTCCCCTGGGCAATAAGTGGCTTCTTACAGGTACATCAAAAGCATAGAACCCAAGGTTCCCCATGAGCCTGCTTCTGGATGTTTGCCTGCCATGGGATAAAACAGAGGCTGAAACTGATCTCCAACCACCTGGCACCTCTCCTCGGTTCCCTTCTCCAGTGTGCCTGAGTCAGCCGGGTGACAACAGCACCGTTTCACAGCAACACATGCAGATGTCCGGGAGGAGTTAACATCACTGTTCTCTGTGGCCTGACGTATTCCACCCCTTGCTCTGGCGTGCAGAGGATATTACTCACTTTGTCTTTGTTTCTACTTCCAGTTCAGGCTGGAATTCTTTTCCCTTAGTGCCCTAGTCAACAAGGAGGTACAAGGAGGGGTGGCCACTGCTTTGCAAGCTACAGTCTCCTGCTGGCAGTGAGAAGAGCCTTCAGCCTCACAAACCCAGGATCTCCCCTGGCCCTGGCAGCCAGGGACGGCTCCCACTCCTTTTTCTGGCTGCACCCTGGGAATCCTGCTCCACCTCTTGGACTCATCCTACCCCTTTCCCGACTCTTCAGTCTCTCCCTCTGCAGCTTTGGAGAATGCTTTGGTCTTCCATAGCTTGAAGTCTCCATGGAGCCTCACTGTCCCCTGAAGGGCCAGTTCTCCCTTCTCCTCTACCCTTAGCTCAAATGGCCTCTGCCTATGTCTCGTCAGCCACTTCCTGCACCAGCCACGAGCTGACACCACTGTTTGCATCCTCCCAACCAACCAACCCCAAATCCCAAGGTCAAACCTGGTCCTCAACCTGCTTCACCCCTGCAGCTCTGACGTGGGTGCACATCTGTACATCCTCTCTGGGGGAGCCTGTCCCCCTGAGGCATCCCTCCAGCCTCTGAGGCCCTTCTCCAGGTCTTTGTCTGAGTTTTTTTCCTAATTTGGAACTCTTGCTTGCTCCTGACCCTCAGCCGTCATCGCTTCCTCCCAGCATTCTCTCTTCTACTCCTGATCCAACAGGCAGAACTACTGAAATTACTAATACTTCCTAGTGTACAATCCAGTCCTACTTTCTATTCCCAGCCAGAGCCCAGCATTTCTATTCTCCTGTTTCACCTTTCTTTCTTCTTTCCATTCATTCAGTGTTTGCTACGGGCAAGGACTGCTTTATATTTGAGGTGGGAAAATAAACAACAAATTGTTCCTTCAAAAAGCTCAAAGTCTAGGTGGGGAGACAAGACACAAACAAGTAACTGTGGTAGAAACTGGAAAATGCTAAAATTTACAAACGGCTATGCGAACACAGGGCCTATCACTGATGAGTGGGAGTAGGCGTGCTTCTAGGTTGGGATCTGGAGAATCATCTTCCAGGCTGGGGATGGGGGCAGGTGGAGGAGTTGTATAAACCAGTCCCAAGGAAGGGTCTTTTCTGTCTTTTTTTTTTTCTGTCCATCTTGGGGGAGCTGTGGGAGTTTTAAACCATGGGCTCACTCTGGAGGTTGTGTGGAGAATCAGTCTGACTGCGGAGGGACGAGAGGCTGGGGAGCTAGGAGGGAGGCTGTGGCCACAGCTCAAGAGAGTTGACAAGGGCTTGGATATCCTGTTCTAGAATCCTCCCTGCTGGTTCACCAGGGCCCCCAGACACTACCTCCTCCATCAAGTCTGTTCTGGTCAGTCTCTCTCCTGAGTCCTCTGTAACCTCTTGAGCAACGTGCCTCACTGTGTTTGGTACTAGACATATTTGCCCGCGGACCATCTACCCCACTGAAGTATGCCTTTGGTCATAAGCATTTCTTACTACCGAACACACACACGCCATAGACTATGTGCAGATACAGTTCTAAACGCTGAGCTTGGCGAGAGGTAAATTTTCTTTTCCTTACATCAAGAGCATGCTGGCAGAATTCCATCCCGACCACAGAAAGGTCACCTGCTGCTGCCCGTCTGTGGGGTAGGAACGTTTCCAGCTGTACTGTGTGTGTGTGTTTACGCGTGTGTCTGTGTTCACGGGCAGACCCACAGGAGTGGGTGGGTGCCCTGGCTGGGCCAGGCTGTGCTGCTGTGGGGTAAGGCAACCTGTAATAGCAGCATCACCAAGCAGTGGGCCAGTTTATGACCACGCCACCATTTCTCTCCTTTTCGGTTCCTGCCTCTTTCCCTGCAACTGCTGGTCTTTCCTTTCATTCTGTATTCTCTTCTTTCTCACCTTTTTCCTTGTCAGGAATGCAAGACCCTTGTCATCTCCAGACCTTGTTACAGGGACTGTCCAGGGCCACCCTCATAGGCAGAGGAGTGCAGGAATGGCAAATGGGGGTCTAGACACCAGGAAAAAGGGAGAAAACCCACTCCAGCTCCCTAATGTAGTTCACAGATGCCTGAGATTCCACCTGGAGCCTCTCAGCGGGTAAGCTGAGAAAGGGGTGATGGGCTGAGCATCACCTTCCACAGTGCTGAGACTCAGAGACGCTGCGCCTTTGTCCCCAGTGAGCACAGGCAGAGCAGCTGTGTGAGGAGCCACTCTGCTCTGTGGCGGGGGCCTAGCAGGCCTCTCCGAACCAGACGCTCACCTCCTGTGCTTGGCACCCACACTGGCAGTGCAAGAGCTCTGGGATCTGCGCCATACTTCACCTGCGGAGGGCAGGAGAAGGGGCTGAAGCCCCTGGCAATGTGCGGGGTAAAGGCAGGCTTCAGAGGCCAAAGACCTTACAATGTGACCGCTCAAGCATGAGCGTTCAGGGTCGAGGCTGCACTATAAAATAGCTTCTGAGATTAAACATGTTCAAAATGTCATTAATCCCGGGATAATGTAGATGTGGCCTCAGCTCAGATAAATCAGTTGAAAACACTCCTTTGTTTACCTCTTCCTGCCTCCATAGACAGACAACCTTAATCTCCTGGGGATTTGGCTAAAGACTCTGACATCTCTTCTCTCCAACTGGCAATGAATTTAAGCTGTCAAGTGTGCCTGGGTTTGCAGCAAACAGCCCAGGAGCATTTCTCACAGACCAGGGACCAGCAATTCCGGGTCTGTATCTGTGTGATCGCCTTTGCGGATTGTGGAAGAGCCAGATTCCCCGTGCAGTGCAGCTGCCCTGGGAGGAAGGGTAGCAAGTTTGGTTTGCTGCAGCGCAGATGCAGCGGGACTCCTCTGAAGGCACGGCGCAGAGGGTGCAGGAAGCCGGGACGGCAACAGAGCTCCTCCCGTTCAACTCATAGGAAACCAACTTTGGATCAGAGAAAATAGTATGATGTCATTTAAGGATAGGATTCCTTCAAAGGAGCAGGTGGTAAGCTTGTTCCTCTCCAGATTCCTCCTTCTCCTTAACATGCCCCCTGCAGTCCAGGATCGATTCTGAAAAGGACGTTGCTCCAGCACTAACTTCTGAGGGCCCCTGTTCTTGGGGTTGGGCTCAACGGGCTGTGCTCATGAAGAATGCTTCCTCCCTGGGGCCAGGGCACCGGAGCTGCTAACGATGTGGCCCTGGGGACCGCAGAGCTAGTTTAGGGCCTCAGGTGAGTGCTCTTGGGCAAATTCCAGGACCTCCCTGAGACTCATTTCAGTGTAAAATGAAGAAACAGAAGTCTCTACACCTCCCAGTCAGACTGTAAAGATTTCTTGACATAACCCACTATCTATACTTGCCAGCGTGGTGTGAAGATTCCATGACATAATCCATGACCTGGGCCTCCCAGTGTGACTGTGAAGTGAAACAGCCACTGTCTATACCTCTCAGTGTGGTTGTGAAGGTCAGGTGGAA